CAGTTTGTGCCCGAAAGTTACTTCTTTGCATGATCTACACATCTTTGTAGAGTTTAGGTATTCTGTAATCAATTGCTTTATTCCTTTCTTTGGAAGGGTCATACATTTTTTCCTATAAAGATGGAGAAGTAGAAAGCCAAAACCTTTCCAAAATGTACTAAAAAGGTTTTGATGCAAATAAATTGATTCTTAAATAAAGTTATATTACTTTATGATTTGTCTAGTTGGAGGAAATGTTTGTAAAGGTAAGGTATCTACATTCTTTGGCACCAGTCCTCTTCTACTATAGCCAAAGGCAGCTAAGATAATGTGAATGGCAGCATCAATTGTTTTTTTAACATCCTGTTCTGTTCCTATACTTGGGTTTACCTCCACTAAATCCATTGCTCCCAAGCGGCCTGTGTTGTACACCATTTCCATTATTTGAATACCTTCTCTCAAAGTAAGGCCTCCCCGAACTGAAATATATGATGTTTAGGAAATGGTTGTTTAAGTTATGAACCCGAGTTCGCTGACCCAGCATCACTCAGGGATAGAGTTACATCCGCTGTTCCAGACCCAACTTCCATGTTAATATTCCATGTTAATATACAATTTGTTGTATGACATACATAATTAATAAATTTCAATTATCTTGAATGAGTAACTTTCACCTAGACATTGAAATGCAGTTTTATGTTCGACAACTTTTCAAATTCTTTCTATTTTTGCTGACTATTCAAAATATATCTGATTACAATTCGATAGTATATGAGCAAAACAAATATTTTGAAGTAATAATCCGTAGAAACATCGGACATAATCAATTTTCAAATGTGAGAGACATTTATCATATTTTGCTCAGCTTTCAGTAGTTGTGAAAATATAGGTTTGAATCAAATTTACATTTCCACATATAGTTAATAATAATATCCATGAATAAAATTATGAAATTTTCACATCATATTATGAAACTGGTATAATTTTTTTGTGGTTTTAAGGCCTATTGGCCTAATTATATCATTTTTTTATCATTATTATCATGGATAGTATCATTAATTTGCATTAGGCCAATGATCTCCAAACATACTATATTATATAGCAATCCTGTGAATGATACCTGATTCAATTCCATGACGAACGTTTAGAATACAAACTGAATAGAGATAAGTATTTTTTGTATAATTTACTGTTCATATAGAAGTATTTGTTTTGAAGTTACTTCTTTGCATGATCTACACATATTTGAGTTCATTTTCTGAAATTGATTGTTTCATTCTTTTCTTTGGAAGATTGCCACATTTTTTGTATAAAGATGGGGAAGTAGAAAGCCAAAACCTTTCTTTCCCAAAAATTAATCTCTTCTAAAAATATACCACTTTCAATTTAGACAAGATTCTCATTGCTGGGATTAAATCAAACGAGTGACTGTCATTACATACTGTCATCGATGACATGAGTGGATTCAACTCATTTGAGACATAAGGTCGTAATTTTATGAATAGATTGAGTGCTTTATCTTGTAATCTTATCCATATTGGTGCTGAAGAGGCAATAAGCAAGTGTCTTATTTCGAAACATTGAAGTCCGCCATTGAGGATGACAGTGTTCCATGTAAGTGAAATGTTACCTCTTTCATGTACAATATTGTGTAGCAATCCTGAATCAATTCCATAACGAATGTTTGAAGTACAAACTGAATAGGAAAGTTTTTTTTGTATAATTCAATGTTTACATAAAAGAAGTTGTTACAAAAGTATTTTTCATTTCCTGTAATTGAATGTTTATATGAAAATAGTTGTTTCGAGAGGGCTATTCTTCCAGTTTGTGCCCGAAAGTTACTTCTTTGCATGATCTACACATCTTTGTAGAGTTTAGGTATTCTGTAATCAATTGCTTTATTCCTTTCTTTGGAAGGGTCATACATTTTTTCCTATAAAGATGGAGAAGTAGAAAGCCAAAACCTTTCCAAAATGTACTAAAAAGGTTTTGATGCAAATAAATTGATTCTTAAATAAAGTTATATTACTTTATGATTTGTCTAGTTGGAGGAAATGTTTGTAAAGGTAAGGTATCTACATTCTTTGGCACCAGTCCTCTTCTACTATAGCCAAAGGCAGCTAAGATAATGTGAATGGCAGCATCAATTGTTTTTTTAACATCCTGTTCTGTTCCTATACTTGGGTTTACCTCCACTAAATCCATTGCTCCCAAGCGGCCTGTGTTATACACCATTTCCATTANACCCACACCCTAAATCGGTATGACCAATCAGCCTTACATCCTTCCTGTTGAAAGGACCTGAGAGGATACTGGACGGACACATCAGGAGGGTAGCATTATATGCATCTCCCCTGAATAACCACCAGTTAAGCCGGCAAATCAACAGATTTAGCATTAAACAACCTCGTTGAGAAAATCTCCCAATCCCTTGTATTTCTTGCTGTATATTGAAGGAGCATTTGACAATGCACTAGCTAAATCTATAGGATTGTCTCTGGCTAGGAAGGGTATAAAATCGACCATAACTGGCTGGATCTATGCCATGCTAGTAAACAGAACTGGAACTACGACTCTTCAAAAGGCGAGTCCATTAGGTTCAGGGTCACCAGGGGCTGCCAAGGCAGCAAGGTCCACGTCGGGAAGGGATCGAAGCTTGATACCAAACAGATGTTGGCTACAGTAGGGATGAACTAGGATGTATAATAGACCTTCCTACAGGTTTCTGTCATTTGAATCATATGCAGAGACTTGGACTGTCGGAAGACAGTGTGTGTGTCGCCTGTTTGGAAAATGATGAAACAGCAGAGCATACACTTTGTGCCTGTCCCGCTGGGTTCTTAGAGTTCGGCAGAGCCGTACTCTTACCATCTGACCTGAAAGACCACTCACCATACAAACTAATCGGCTTCGTTCAGAAGCTGGGTTTATTTGGCCAAGTGTGAATAGGCGTGAACCACAATAAACCCTTGCGGGTTGCGGTGGAGGGTCGAATAGACCCACTAACTTTAGACCTAACCTTACTAAGAAGTGTTTCACATTTGATCTTCATTACCAAAGTGAAAGTTTGCAGAAATGAATATAAACAGCTTTAATTTAGTTGAGAGAAATTAGTTTTCATCAATTTCTGATTATGGTAACTTACTTAGTAATTGGTGGATCAAAAGAAAGTGCTCTAATTCTGGTGTATGGAAAAGTGATTTTATTAGATTCGTTTCAGATTAGATAATTCATTTTTATTCTGCAAGTTAGAAATCTATATAAAGCTAAAATTATACTAAGGTTTCTGGATTGTTTCTAAAAACGGCTGGAAACTACAACTTTGATAGATTAAAAGGAGAATTCTAAACTTGTCTCAAAGAATTTCACAGGAAGTGTTTAACTGACTTAGCTTGCTTGATTCTCCTAGTGATTTGTACATTGGAAGTATATGTACTAACCACTTCAAGGTTCCGCACAATTTACCTGGCAATAGAATTGAAATAAAACCCCTAGAGGTTGAATAAATATAATCTAAATCATTTGAAATGCAAAGTAAATCGTTATTTTTGCAATGTCACCGCTCTCAGAACATCTCAAATGTTTTTCTGTACCTAGTGCTTTTGCATCTCCACAAAAACTTTTTCTAGACCAAAAAATATTTTTTAACCGATATTTCCTTTCTATTAACCGTTTGAAATCACGTATTTCCATTATAAATAGAACTTCTCTGAAAATAATTGATATATTATTTATCCAACAAATGAAATAAATGAGTGAAATAATTATGGCTTCATAGATTGACAATATTCATTAATCAAGAAGTAATTCAATTTATTTCCCTTTATACTCGTTTGGTTTTATGAATTTTTCATACCTGAGGTTCCTGTACTAGGAGCTTCCAGAGAGTCCAGAGAATCTATATCATAACTAACATGAATGGATCTCTTCTTTTCCGGATCTATTTTATTCAGTGCCATATTAACGATAGTACTTATGCCATAATTTTCAACGTCTTCCATTCCAAAAGCTGTTATGCCAAGTTTATCTATAACCAGCCGTTCATAAGAATCAACTGATCTCAGCCCTATGTATGCAACATTTCTAATAGAAATGATTGGTTTTTGCCAGTCCATACCAGGTAAGTACGGCCAATAATCTGAAAGTTCAGTTGCTAAAAGAGCCATGGGCATTCCGTGGACATTTCCAGAGGTAGAAGTTTTGTTTGTATTCAAGTCTGCATGAGCATCAACCCACAAAACACATATATCTTCGTTTTTCGCTTTGATGTGACCATCTACAGATCCAATAGCTATGGCATGATCGCCTCCAAGGGTTAAACAAATACTTTCGTCTCTGATAATTTTCTCCACCTGATTAGATAATAATTTTGTGCATGATGCTACATGTGCATATCCTTTCATGTTTGGAATATCACTATCTATTTCCTTCATGACCTCATAAGAAATATTTCCATAGTCTTTGATAGTGAGATTGTTCCCTAGAATAATGAAACATTTTGAAAGAGTAAAGTTATTCATGTTCTAATTATCGCTATAAAGTTTATAGCGACGAATATGAATATAATCCAAATATATTCAGCATATAAAATTTCAGATTCATGAGTTTCTTGGAAGTCCCGTTCATACAAAACAGAAAAAAATTGATTTTATTTCCAACCAAACCAAAAAAAAATTTTCTTTTGCTTCATTTTAAAGAATATAACTTAGAAGTTGATACTGAATAGAGCACTCCTAATAAGCGATTTAGATATTATTTTAATTACGGAATCCTGGCTGAATAATACTTTTGCTAATTCAGAAATCAGTAACTCTCAATATCTTATTTTTAGAAAAGATCGTGACTACAACAGTACTAACTGTACGCGGGGAGGTGGTGTTATGATAGCAATTAAATCATCCTATAACGCTACAGAAATAAGAGTTTCTGATTCTAATTTGTTTGAAGATGTCTGGGTGAAACTTAAGATCAACAACAAATCGATTGTATTGTGTGTCGTTTACT